AGAATCTTTTTCCAGCAATGCTTATGCTATCGATTTTCTCATCTTTTGAAATCGAATCTTTCTTGTTTTCTTCAAAAGCACGATCAAATCGTTGTCTTCGATGTCATTACGAAAAGACTCTTCTTTCCAAATTTCGCTTTGATTTATTTATATCGAATGAATAGCTGTAATGAAACTCGTAACATCAGCGATGCTTTTGTGTTTAGGTTATCTTCAATAGTTTTGCCTCCTATATCTTTTGATTGTCGCCGAAGGTACTCAGTGTCATCAAATCTATTTGACTCAATATTTTAGCTAGTTCTTATTACTGCATTTGTGTCACATCGATCTTCAATTTACTTGCTATATTGAATATATCAGTTTTTGTCCTTGTTGTTGTTGAATCCGTATGCTGAGTTTGTTTTCACACTGTTCTGAGTTAATTCTTTTCATGTTCTAGTTTTCCTCATTTATCCGGATTGAATCGATTTGCCCATGCATACTTGCTTGCTTTTCATGTTCAATTTCAAAATCTTCCTATGTTTTCTTAATTTCATTATAAAAAACCTTATTTGTTTGTATTACGACACCAAATGTTATCGTCGCAGATCAATAAATAATAGACTGCACGCACAGATGACTAAATGTGAGTATCTTTCTTCCTTCTTTGTATCCACACCCACACTCTCATTAGCATTACTTGACTCGATGTGGCGTGAACATGCTAAAATAACGAAAATACCGATTAGAAATTCAGTCATGATACATGTCCTTTTCATTATGAATAAAAACACTCTTGTTTTATGGTTCTCACTATGTAATGCTGAGAATATATATAGTTGTGTTTGAAGTGAGTAGTATATTTACCCTTGTGATCATAAATCAGTTTTACATTTACATAAGCCAGACGAAAATAAATTTACTATTATAATCATAAAACAGTCTTGCGTAGTTCACATATATTTTCGGTGAAAATATATAATAGTAAATTTATTTTCGTCTGGCTTATGTAAATGTAAAACTGATTTATGATCACAAAGCTAAATATACTACTCTCTTCAAACACAACTATATATATTCTCAGCATTACATAGTGAGAACCATAAAACAAGAGTACTTTTATTCATAATGAAAAGGACATGTGTCATGACTGAATTTCTAATCGGTATTTTCGTTATTTTAACATGTTTACGCCACATCGAGTCAAGTAATGCTAATGAGAAGGCTAAAGTTTATGAAAAAGTTGGACATTATCTGCGCAACTATCAATTAAAAACAAAGCAGGCAGACGGGAATTCAGATGATTACTATCTAAATTCAAATAAAATTGGTTTGGGTTTTAATCCACTCTATGGTAGTCCATTCTGTTATACAGCTGCATGCCAAATGGAAGGATTCGGTCATCCAGTATTCAAACTCCAATATGAGTCTTCTTCAGCTGGTGCTTGCACAAATAAACTTATACCAAAATTTGTATCTTTCGACTGTCTACCATCGGTAGTAACAAGTGCTAATACTGAAATTATTAATACATTAGACCAATTGCATGAAAGGATTTCAAACAAAATTGAAGTATCCGTTGGTGCTTCTTATGGAGCATTTTCATTCAGTTATACAAATTCCAAAGAGATAAGGTATATGGTTGATAATATTGTAAAAAATGAAATGTCATTATTTTATACATCATCACATGTATCTGCAGTTAAACTTAGTATGTTCGAACCATTCATGGAGCTTTCTGATATGTTTCGGTTTGTAATTGAGAATTTACCGTGTTGTGATGATGATTGGCAGACTGAAAAATATGTTCGAGATTACATATTTAATTATTTTGGTTATACTTTTGTATGAACATTATTATTAGGTGGTATAGCACAATAGAATATCTTTATGAAGCGTGATTCATATCAACATCTTGAATCACAAAGTATTTCAACAAAGAATTTAGCTAAAATTGCATTCTATGTGTCAATGGATGTCTCAGTTGAAAATTAACAAGAGAATTCTCAACTTCAAAAGTTTATGAAAGAAGTTCAAAATAGTTATGCTACAAAACTTGGGGGTGATCCATCTGTATCGGATATGAATGAATGGGCCAAAACTGTACCATCAAATTCTGTCATAACTAAATTTAGCATAAGAGAAATATTTGATTTATTAACCAAACATCGTTTCCCTAACGATTCACAAATACAGAACAAATCAAAGTTAATTGAAAAATTACTAAAGAAATATATTCAACAACCATTGTACTGTTATAATAATTGTACAAGTACATTACATGGTACATGTGAATCGTCAGGCTATTTTCAATTTGGTATATGTAAGTGTAAAAACAGTTGGACAGGTATTGATTGTTCAATCTATAATTCGTCTACAAAACCTGTAGTAGTTTACGGAAGTGTTCTGAGTGGTACGCTATGTGGGTTTGATAGATCTTATATACGTAAAAACTGTGATGGCTACCGACCGTGGAATGGATGTCCTCAGGGTTGGATTTCACGATTATGGGTTGGTGCTGATTTTACTGTTTGCTATAAAGCTGTTACATCAAAAAATAGTTCAAGCATTGCTGGAACTTTATGTGGTCTTTATAATTTTGGAGGTAAAGAATTTGTCGATATTTTATGTAATTATACGTCAGATGCTAAATGTCCTGATTACTCTAGATCAGGCTATTCGCCAGTATACTCTTTGTCGTATGTTAATGGATTTTTACAATCATCAAATGGCTTCTGTATGAAATCGATTTCAAGTTACCCAGATTTACCAGGCACATTATGTGGCATACAATGGGCACAAACAACTGATGGGCCTGCATGTGATGGTTATAATCCTGGACTCTCTCATTGTCCATCTGGATATGCAGTTCAATCATGGATGTTAGAGCCAGCTAAACATTTTCATTTGTGTGCAAAACTATAAACTCGAATGTATTTGTCTATAATCACTTGATTTTCTGTGCTTCATGTTTTTTTTCTAAGGCTAAAACTACTACAGAAATGTGAAAATGTTCTCACATAATTTTGTGGCGTGGTTTGAAAAGTTTTTGTATAAGAAAACTATGGATAACATCATCGCTCATTTGTTTATTGGATATTTCACCTGACAAAGGCGAGGGTGGATGTGGGTGTGAGGAAGATAATAATACCCACATCCACTCCCACACCTGGATTTTTCCGGTGAATTCCTGCAAATCTCCTATGCTTGCCAGTGGGAACCGACCGGAAATCATCGAGAAAAATCCGTAAAATTTCGAGCCGGAATACTGCTTTCATGTTCCAGCGATTTCCGGTGTTTTCCTATCGAAACCCATCCGTACTTCTTGACCCAGATTATCACACGATAAAGCACTATGATGATCTTCTCATCTTGAGTGTCTTCGCTTTTTCATCAATGTTCTTGATGTATTACTATTTTTTTTCTATTTTCAACTCCTGAACTGATGAAGGCAATGATTCTTCTTATAGATAGAACCGGTCTACCGATAAAAAACGAGATACCGGTGTGGGTGTGGGTGTGAAAGCAATACTGCCATCCAATACCCACACCCACATCCTCTCTTACATCCGTGACTTCACTCCAGTTAGTTGGACGAGCGCTCTTTTGCCGTTTAAACGGTGATGTATTGTCCAAAATAACTGTTTATCACAATAAACGATTTTCTAAGTAAAAGAAATAAGTATCGCGTTCTTATTGTTTAAATGCTGTATTATAAATGTTATAAACTGTAATTTGTTCATAATTAAACGCATGATTTCTGATAATTTCATATGTAGTAAACGATTATCAGCTTTTGTTGATACCCAATAAAAACAATGAGTGATTTTCACTTTATTTTCGAAATATTTACCTGACTATGCAAATGAAAAATTGTCCATTTAAAACATAATACACCAATAGAAATATTTGTACAATATTCAAATTTTTATCTTTCTAGAAGTTCGAAAATTTGTACAAAATACTTCGATTCATATGTTATGTTTTAAAAATAGACGAATTTCATTTATTTACGTAAACATTTCGACTTGCTCGAAATTAAATAGCACTGCTTTTCGAAAACAGAGTGAAAACTACTCATTAATTAGATTAGATATCATTAAAAATTGATTGCGAGCTCTCTTCTGACACATTCATTTTTTTTCTTACTTCTTGAATAGAGTTCGAACTTGATCACATGCTTAGAAATGTGAAATTATGGAACAATTTTCATTGAATGAATGAATGAATTGGCTGCCTGAATTTATTCTTTCTTTCTTTCCTTCTCTGACATTGGAGACATGTGGAGAGAATGAAGAGACTTTTTCCCATTTCTTTTTCTTTTCAGCTTTATATCTCTGTCATTTTAAAAGATAGAAAAAACATTTTTCGTGAAGTTCCTGTTTTCAGAATTTCAAAATCGTGTCGAATGCAGCCTCTATGCCAGTTTTTTTCGTGAGCTCTGTAGCATTATCGATTCATCCCAATTTGGGGTAAATGTATAAATTCATTTTTATTTTTGCAGGATTTCATAAATCGAGATTTTGTATGGCTTCATGGTGTTTTCTCAAGTCATTCTCTATGGACAAATATTTTCAACTCATCAAGTTTCATCATTTTATGCTACTTCTTTTTTCTTATTGCACGAAAACAACCTTATTTCATAGGGTGTTAAGGATGTCAGTGACTGAAAGCATGAGAGTGGAATTTTTTAACGAAGCAATTGCATTTTATTTCATTACTCATCGTCAACTTTACATATATATTCTCTGCCGCCAAACTGAATAATAGAAAGAACAGAACAATTAGCATCGTTTTGATATCGAACAACAGAGCTGTTATGGACGATGAAAGTTAACGGTGGAAATGACTCGTCAACTTAAAGGACATCTTGATCGTCACTGTTACCATTATTACCTTTCTTTCTGCTGTGTTATATCTCTACTTATCATTATTTCCTTCATATACATCAATATTTTACTGATATCCTATTAACATGGTTCCAAACTACAAATAAAAAACCATGTCCAAGTATACACAGTCTGAGATACAAATAGGTCATGGATACTGTTCAGAACAAGAACCTTCAGTCATCTAATGCTGCCTGCCAATTTAACATTCCTTTATCTATGCTCTATGATTGACTTTCTGGCAAATATAGGTATACTTGTCGTGATGGACAAACAATTTTTATCTTCGGAAGAAGAAGCATTTATTGCCCATAAGGTAGGCACATTCGAAAAATAGCAATTGTCATTATTACACAAATCGGTGATCGAGATTGCAAAGTTTTATATGCTTGAACCGGGCAAACATATATCAGTCTAACTGCTCATCTTAATGATTGGTTCGCTAAATTCATGATCCTGCATCCTCAATTCAAGGTTCCAAAGAGTATGAATTTGAAAAAAGTTTGTTCAGTATCCTGCACTCCACAAGTCATCAGTAAGTACCGTTAAATCATTAACTGACCAGTGGATAGCAAGAATTTTTTCTCGATTACTTTGTAGAAGGCTGGTTCAAAACCCCTCATCGTATTCTGGTCAAGCATAAACATCTGGGCAGACCAAACACAATATTTAATGTGGATGAAAGTGAGTTTTCATCATCGTCAAACGATCAACAAAAAATCTCGTCTTGTCTCATTCTGACACAGGAAAGTTTTACAACAGTACTGATGTGTACCAGTGACCATGGAAAATAAGCTCGTTTTTTATGTTCTCAATCTTCTGAGTTGAGAATTTGTTCTTTAAGGGTTCTTCCACTTTACATTATTTGCCAAGATGTGCATCTCTGGAATACATGGATCTCCAAAAACTGCTTTCCAGGAGCACGATTTAACGCTAGACTCTCCGGCTGAGTTGAAGAACATATTTTCTTTGATTGATTCAAGCAGCATTTAATTTCTTTCGTCGAAGATGCCACGATATTGAACTTCTTTGTCTGCTTTCACACATTATCACAGTCCTTCAACCATTAGATGTGATAACTCTCACAAAGGTGAAGATAGTTTGGTGATTACTTCTCAACAAATAGAACATCCAGACGAATTCAAAACCAATTGACAAAAAGCGTTTCTGCTACCTGATGAATTGAGAACCGTTGTCACATGAAAGTTCTTGGCTTTAATGTGAAGTTTTTGTTTGTTATCTTATCTTGCAGGTGAAAGAATTATGGTGAAAATATCTACTCCCAAGCCATTGTTCCTCAGGATTCTCTTAGACTGGAATCTATTCTTTTGATCCATGTGCAGTCACAAAAGAGAAACGTCTAGCTCCTCCATCGTCTTCAACGTCCTCAAATACTCAATTGAACTTTAACGATAACATCGACCTGACCAATCGTCGTACCTGTCGTCTTACTCGTTCTTCTTTATTTGATGTATTTTCAACTGAGAATGACTCTTAAAACTTCAAATAATTTCTTCTCATGAACAGAATTTCTCAGGTCTGAACACTACTGTTACCCCGCTTCAAAGAGTACCTCTTATTTCATCAATAAAAGCACTGATCAAGCACTCACCGATTGACAATATTCGATATAGTACGTTTCTGAACTGCCGGTCACATTCCATTCAACTAACATGCTTTCCTCTGTTAAATGTTCCAGTATATTTATCTATCAACGATCAAGATAATTCATCGATCTTGATATCGCAATGAACTAGGCTTCAAAGTATAACCGATTATCTCGAATTATTTAATTTATATATCTGAATTCTAGATTGTTCATCCACATCATTAGTGATTGGGCATGACATGCAAGCGTTATATGCAGACAAACTGACATCGGTCGAAGCTCTCCAAAAAGTTAATAGGAAGGAAAAAATTAGCCTCAAGCACAAAAAATCTACTTCAGTTGTTGCGAAGAAAGCAACCAAAACTAGAGAAGTTTCAGTGAAACGGTAAAACCTTCATGAAAGCGATGTGAGGAAGTCTTTTAAAACTACTAAAGGCATACGAATAAAAGATACAGATAGAAATGGATGCGCCTAATTTTTTCAATGATGATTTGTCTTATCAGTGGACGAAAGCGAAAGAATCCTGCTAAAGCTAATGATTTCTTCTTACTATTCTACTGCTTATTATGTATCGCCACCGATCCTTCATTCTATGCAAATGAATCCAGATTTTAGTTTCAATTCGTCATTGAACACTTTGTATTCATATCGTCAAGCATGAATACCTTGTTTTCGATGTGATCAAGCATTTTTTCTCCATGAATCTTACGCCAAGTGTAAGGTTTGCGCAAAGATCTGTTGTTTTACGTGCTCTCAGCACTACCACATCTCATCGACCACTTACTTTACGCGTAAACAATGTTGTTTTCATACTTGTCTCATTACCACTCAAATGATGTGAATATTATCTAGCTTCGGTTTCGTTTATTCTAAGTTTTAAGAAAATAAAATACATTAAGTGAATACTTCTTTCTTTTTCCGTGCAATAAGAGACAAGAAGTAGCATAAAGTGATATAACTTGATGAGTTGAAGATTCTTATCTATAGAGAATGACTTGAGAAAATATCATGATAGTTCTGACAAATTCGACTAGCAAAGATTGAACAACTTTGATTTTATATATTCGCTTCATTACATGATAACGATAATTCATTTATCCCAAATTGGAGTGAATCAATAATGTTACAAAGCTTTCGAAGAAAACTGGTGTAGAGCCTGTGTTCGACACGATTTTGAACATCTGAAAACAGAAATTTCAAGAACAATATCTGTTCTATGCTGTTTGTGAAGAAAATGTTTGGAAGAAATGTGAAAAAGTCTCTTGATTCGCTCTGCATGCTTTATTTTGCTTCTCTAACTTTATTCTCTTTCTCGTAGAGAAGAGTCTTGCAAACATAAATTGTCTGATTGCTTGCTGGCTTGTGTGTCCGCACTTTACTGATTGGTCGAATAACAATCTCGACACAAAAGGATTCTTTCAAATAAAACTCAACCAAAGGTAATCGAGATCGAGGAATTCGAATCTGGGATCAGTTTTTTGAAATTTTTTTGTGGACCATTTTTTTACACAAAGAACCACTTTTTTACGAAAAAGAAATTGTTTTATAAAGTTTGACCAAAGGTTTTTGAGGTCAGAGAATCGATTGATATCATTAGTTTTTGAAAATTCTGTTTCAACTAGGTTTTTTTGTAAAAAAGCCGTTTTTTAGTAAAAACAATTTTTTTTAAAGTTTGACCAAAGATTTTTGAGGTCGGGGAATCGATTGGTACCGTTAGTTTGTGATAATTTTGTTGAACTAGTTTTTCTTAGTAGAAAAGGCGTTTCTAGTAAAGAAAATTTTTTTTAGAAAGTTTGACCAAAGGTTTTCGAAGCCGAGGAATCTTTCAACATGAAAATTCTACAAATCCAGCCTTTTCTTGCTGAAGATGCTGAACTGAAACGTCTTGATGAACTTAATAGGAACACACACCGACAGTGCACTTTCTTCGATTTTTGAAATTATATGAGTAGTTTGCTGAATAGCTCAGAAAAACCATTTCTACGAGAAAGAGCTGAACGAGTCCTCGGACGAGCGTTGCTTGTTTTCTACTCATTAAAATACGATGTATTTAAAAAACAAAAACTTTGAAATAGATTATACTTTTGTTTGCTGTCTATGAAATGTGTGTTTACATCAGGTCCTTCTCATTGTCCTATAAAAAAATGATTGATATTCTAAGATCAGTACATAAACTTTAAACAAGTGATATTAAGTGTATTGGAGCTTTAGATATTGAAAACCAAGATAAATACTCAATTTTTACAGTATTATTCTGAATTAATAGATAATACAAACGAGTGTGTCTCTCTCAATTGATGGTGATGATACAATCAGTAAAGTTCTTTTATTGTCAAATATTCTTCACTAATATAATGATGATAGATTACAAAGATATTCAACGAAAATATCAATTATGCTTTTTAGTAATCAAAATTCTTCACCCGATTATCTTAATATCGGTCAACAATTCCTTATACAATGTTCTTATTTAAGGAATGGTTCGAACGTAGTTACATTTTTTATTGGTGTAAGTTTTATATTTAATTAGAAAGCACAAGACAGCGTTCCTCCTGTGGATTCGCTGACCCTTTGCTGAAAGAAAACCTAGACATTTTCTGCAGAATTTGTCGAAAAAACACATTTTCAATTTTACTTTATGCAACGAATATTCTTCTGAATAAATTTATAGCCTCTTCTTCATGAAGATAAGTGAATAGCATGACCATTTTTATACTACAACTTTAGTCATGAATGTGTGTAACACAACTTAACAGTTACAGGGCACATCCATTATTCAACTAATCTTTACATCTACACCAAAAAAGAGATCTGATGGGCTTTATTTAGAATCTAAAAATCTTATTAAAAGCTATTTGACATCTCATTTTTTAGGACAGAAAAAGTAAAAACAATAACATGCATACACTTTTTTATATGACAGTCTTTTTCCTAGTAAGCGGAATATGTCGTACTACACAGAGGAGAAGTATCGACTATTGCTTTCTACATAAAACATTACTTTTATATTCTAACTCCAGGAATAGTAAGTAAGACATTTTAATATATTTCAAACAAAGTGCAGGATAAACCTTACTATCCCGTACAACGATCAAAAAACGCTTCTGATGATAAGAAGAAATAGGAACTCCTCTAAATTCATTAGAAGTTCACATACAAGAGTGAAAGCAATTTTAATCACATTCTAAAACCATTAAAAGAACATTTAAAAATCAATATTTTCTCTGACTACATGACCTAAACGAACAAAGTCTCATATAACAGCTTATTTTTCCAGAACGGAGACTGTTTCAATGAAAAATGTTTCCAATTTCTTTCTTCCACTGAAAATACTGATCAGGTGCTACTCGACTTAATAAAATGAGGATTAATGAGAATTTTGCATAATTTGCTTAAATAATCTCTATTTAACCACTAAATATCGAATAGGTCTTCCTAAGAAAAAAACTTCTCTCATCTTAACTTAACCAACCAGCTCATCGTCAACCTTCGGCGCCTCTTTCGATTCATTGTTCCTTCAAATGCATTACGGATTTCAATACGAAAAACCAAGGCGTCTCTAGTCGTATTCTAATAGAAACTATTGACACGAAAACATTTAGATCAATTCAACTTTAGATTGAACCACTTCGCATGTATAAGTCAACGAAAATGTGAGGGTGTGGGTGTGAGTGTGAGTGTCAATTTCGTTTTTAGTCACACCTACACCCACACCCCACGATTTTCATTATTAATTAACTGTTATATCAAATAGACGTTTACCTTCATCTCGGCATTTATGTATAAAATTCACCATAGTTTTTGATTTATCTATATAAAAATTATTTTCATTTATTTCATCTTTAATAATTTTTTTAACAACTGATAATTGATCATCAGAATCAATTATTAAAAAAATCATTTTTAAGACCAATCATTCTACAATGAACACGTAAAAAACGATTTGCTAAAAACAAAATTTTTCTAATTGGAAAACAAATAAATAAAATTTCACCAACTCCATGAATGTTCCAAGCCACATATCATTTAATTGTATATCAGGTAACATTTGACTTATACGATCATGCATTTCAAGCGCAGCTTTATTTGTAAATATAACAGCAAATATTTTATATGGTTTATATTAGAATTTTTTAATAAATAAACAATACGAGATTTTAATACATGAGCTTTTCCACTACCTTTAACGATTATCAAAAGTTAAAAGGATTAGAAAACAAACAAACCAGCTCTACTAAGAACAAGTAACAGCATGTTTTTGTTCAGGATTAAGATCATGTAAACATTTATCATCATTTATTTGTTTGATATTATATGAAATGTTGCAGATAATACTGTAGTTCTCTTCTTTCGATACATATTTGTTTTGTTCTACAATCAAAGAAGAAAACTATTCTTTGTTTATCAGAGATTAGATTTTTTTTGCTATATTTGTTTTACCGGGATATATACAAGTTATTATTATGCAAATTGATATTATTAATATCAATCTTATCCTTTTGTTTCATTTTGTCATAAAACATCTTTTTTTATTCTAATGCTTCGTCATCAAAAAAAAATGTACGAGGTCCATATGTATCGCAAAAAAAACAAATAGGATCATGTGCTCTCAATGTTATGAAAAAAGCTAACAGACATATAGTGAAAACAAAACATATATAAACGAATCACAAAACAAGAAACGTGAAAGATTTTCTATGAAAAAAAAGAAAACAATCTCAACAGTCATTACAAAACAAACGTACGTTACTAATAAAAAGTTAGTAACCGATTGCATTGTACATGACACAAGAGAATTAAAAATCAATACCATCACCACAATCAATAAGACAAAAAAAAGAAACAGAATAACAATTGTTTGCTCATGAATCTTTGCCAGTTATAGAAAACCATATGACTGGATTGAGCAGACAAGATAATAAAAAATCAAATACCATCGGTACAATCAATAAGACAAAAAAAAGAACCAGTCAATAACATTGGTTTGCTCATGAATCTAACGAAATAACAAAAAACAAACAAGCAGATTGAGCAGAAAAGATAATACACTCGGATGAGAAGAAAAAAAGAGATAGAGACCTATTGCACGTACCTAAAATAACAAAGAAAAAGATGGTATGTTTTTTTTCAACAAACAAATCTTTAATTACAATAATAAATCTGACGATGATGCGGATGAAAGTTCATGAAAATGTCTAAGCCATTATTTATTGAGTTGGTTGAGCAGCTTGACGACGTCGTTCTTGTTCTAAATGTAACGATGGACATATTGTGACCATGGTATAATTCAGCAAAGTCACTCATCTTGTCGAAGCTGTTGTAAAAATTTATTAATAAGCCACCGTTGGCCAATATCATCGGCCAGTTCCTTGATATCTTGATCATTTAACTGATTCTGATCGAAAAGTTGTTCACGATTTTGAATAGAATGATTAAGACGATTGATTTCTGCTTCATAACTAGTAATCTAAATAATAAATAGATGAGTCTCTCAAAGTACAATACATGCAATATGCGAACGAGATAGTGAATAACATTTAATCAAGCGTGCAGCAATTTCCTTATCGAAATGAAAGTGTACATTGGAGAATCGAA